CTGGTCTCAGAGGGTTTGGGTTTTTTTGTTTGTTTGTTTTTGTTTTGTTTTGTTTTTTTGCAGCTTGGCTCTGCTGCATCTGAGGGAGACACTCAGTTTTTATTGCTTGCTCTGGCACAGAGTAGCCTAGTGAATCTGGTCAGTTTCAGGAACTTCCTGAAGCTGTATTGCATTGTTTACCTTCCTGCTTAAGACTTCCCTGTTGGATGGACTGTTTCTTACTCTTGAGGAAATGGTTATACAACACCAACTCTCTTCAAGATCTTCAAGTTGAGCATTTTCAAATGATCTTCTATATCTCTTTGATTGGGACTAACTTCTTTGTGTAGCCTACTCCTGGGAAATATCTTCTGCTTAGGAGCAACTAACCATTCAGGAAAAAAAAAGAAAAAAAATCATCAGGTTCACTTGCACACAGTAGAAAGATAAACTCCCTATATTGTCTCAATACAACCTCTATTATGAAGCTCATAAATGACATGGTTTTGATATTCTCTTGGTGGATTGAGCTGGGAAGGTGTCCCTGAAAATGGCTTTCACTGTCTAGGCAAGCTTTATGATTATGGCCAGTGTTGTCTTTTAGACAAACAAACTAGAGCTTTTTTCTAATTTCATGTAACTGGTCAGCCATGTGAGAATCATCATTACTAATCTTTAAAAAAAAACAACAACATTTAGAGCTGACATGGTGGCACATGCCTTTACCAGAAACAGGTGGATTTCTGTCAGTTCAAAGCCAGCCTGATCTACATAGTGAATTCCAGGCCAACCCCCACTGCATAGTGTGATCTTGTATGTTCCCAGATGCCATGTAGTATTATTTAGCTGAGTTACATCAGCCAGACACATTTGTCTGCAATTTAATTGCCTGTGTTTCAGACTTGTCAAATGCTATAACTTTTGTTTTGTTTTGTTTTTGAGACAGGGTTTCTCTGTGTAACAGCTTTGGCTGTTCTGGAACTCACCCAACTGTCAACTAGGCTGGCCTCGAACTCACAGGGATCCACCTGCCTCTGTCTCCCAAGTGCTGGGATCAAAGGCCTGCACCACCACCTCCCAGCTTAAATGCTATAAACTTTAAAGGCAGGTCATGAATTCTAGTAACCAGTGTTTACATTTTCTGTCAGTCAAGATACCAACTTGGTTTATATCAATTTCATTAAAGACTCGTGTTCTGGTTACTTATGTGTTAAGGTAACACAAGCTGGAGTCATTTGGGAAGAGGGACTTTCATTGAGAAAATGCCTCTATAAGATTTGCCTGTAGGCAAGTCTGTAGTGAATTTTCTTGATTGATGATTGATGTGGGAAGGCCTAGACCATTGTGGTCAGTGTCATCCCTGGTCAGGTAGGTGGTCCTAGGTTGTATAAGAAAGCAGGCTGAGCAAGTCATGAGGAACAAACCAGTAAACTTAACTCCTCCATGGCCTCTGCATCAGCTCCTGCCTCCTGGTTACTGCTCTGCTTGAGTTCCTGTCCCAGTTCCCCTCAGTAATGGAGTGGAACCTGAGAGCTGTAATTGGAAATAAACCCCTCCTACTCCAGTTGCTCTTAGTCATGGCATGTTATCAAACAGAGACCTAACTCAGAAAACTTGAGCCACTGAGTCACTGAACTGCACAAATAAAAAAGGAACCTGCAGGGCTGGAGAGATGGCGCCAGTGATTAAAAGCACAGGCTGTGCTCCCAGAGGTCCTGAGTTCAATTCTCAGCAACTATATGGTGGCTCACAACCATCTATAATGAAATCTGGTGCCCTCTTCCGGCCTGCAGGTATACATGCAGGCAGCACACTGTATATGATAAATAAATCTTTAAAAAAAAAAAAGGAACCTGCAGGTCCTCAGAATGATACATTTTGTGAAATGACATAGTGTCAAATTCTTCGGGGAACATGTCTTGCAGTTCTTGCACAACAGTTCGGTCAGTCACTTGAGACCTTTGTGAGACTTTCCGAGATATGAATCCAAATGTATCATTTAGAATTTTATTTCCATATTCCAGGGAATCTGAAAATACGTTTTAGTTATCTTTAATATGTTTGCTCTCAGTAAAGTGTGTCCATTGCATCTCCAGTGCTCTGTCCTCAAGAATACCATGGAAGAACTTTTTCTCCGTTGAGCAAAAAGCCCAGGTAACTTGCCATGTGGCATGGTGCCCTTCCAGTTACTACTTCATTAGTAGGTAGATGATCTTCAGCCTTTCCCTCCTTGCTGTTTTTCTCCTCTCCTTCCACTGTGAGCTTTTTCCTTTTCCACTTTTAGGTGGAATCATTAGTGACACCTTTCTATTGGTACACCCAGGCCTGCCGCACTTTGGATCTTAATTTCTGTTTTTAATCTTGCTTTGGCTTCCAAGAACCAGTTGTGGATTCTGATCCTGGTTAGTGCCCATATCCTTTACACTTTTATTGTCTCTGCTGGGAATGCTGGCCTCTGTAATCTTTGAGAAGTTCCAACATTGCTTGCGTTTTGTGACCTGGTTTGTCCAGTAGGGTCTCTAACTTCTCATTTGTTTTATCTCATTTATTTTATGTCATTTTAATAAGTTTTACATTGGGTTTTTTACTTTAGTATCTTGTTTTTTGTTTATTATTATTTTTTGCTTTTTTAGTTTTGTTTTTTTTAGTTTTTTTCAAGATCAAGTTTCTCTGTAGCTTTGGAGTCTGTCCTAGAACTAGCTCTTGTAGACCAGACTGGCCTCAAACTCACAGAGATCCACTTGCCTCTGCCTCCCGAGTTCTGTGATTAAAGGTGTGTACCGCCACTGCCCGACTTACTTTAGTATCTTGTAAATCCATTAGAAATGACCTCAGCAAAGATTGTAACCCTTCAAAGTGATTTCTCCATGTTCCAGTTTCAAGTCCAAGTTGCTGAGACTCAAGCCTCTTTTGGAAGGAGGTAAACATTAACCAGGAGAGATTTTCATTTCCCCTGGGACTCTCCCTGTCGCATTAACACCACGCCTTTCTGAAGTGTTTTTCTCTGAGAACATCCTGGAAATGGATTTTTGCCTATAGAATAACTGTTACAGGGCTGATCAACTTTCAAAACAAGTTTCCGTAGTTGTGGAATTCAGTTTCTGGCCCTCCCTGTACCTACCTCTACTGTCCCCTGGATTTTGAACTCTTCATCATCTGTGATTTGAAATGTGACATGAAAATATACTGCAGTTGCATTCATTCCACTGTGCAGGATGAGGCAGAATGGTCACCACTTTTATTGGCAGAATCTTGTTGGATTGCCATTGAAGGCACCTTCAATTCCTCTTCTGGGTATTTGTGGAAAGCTGAACTAAGGGAAGGAAGGACTTGACTTTGGGGTTGCACAGTGAGTCTGATTTGGGGATTTACTTTTTACGGCTGATGAAATATTCTTGCCCACTCTCGCCCTCATCAAGCTCACAGTGAACCAGGAATCTTCATGCTTTTAGTTATGTTGGACTCTAGTGTCCAACCCGAGAAGGAGTCGCCCCCAGAGACCATCTCATACACCATAGCCGATGCAAAAACATGAGGATTTTATTAATTCTGTCATGACAGGGTCCCCCAGCATTCGGGAAGCTGAGAGACCCCGACTAGCTGGTACAGTCTACTTTTAAAGGAGAAGGCCCCATAGAAACAAGAGGGGTTGTTCCTTGACCATTATGATTGGCTTGTTCGAAAAGGGCTAATACCAATAATTGACTGGATAACTATTGTCAGATCAGATGAGGTAAGAGGTCATTTTGACCCTGTGTCCCAGGGGACTGAGTCAAAACATACGTATATGGGTAATTGTTCAGGAACTGAGTACGTGCATGTGTAGCTGTTAGGTCCTTGGTTCCCAGGGGAGGAGGGGAAGCACTGAGGCACAGAGGCTGAGAGGGTTTAGAATTGTCAGAAATGGCTTCAGAATTGTCTAAAATCTTACAGTTACAATAAAAATGCTGCCTATTCTGAAACTGCTCAGCCTCTCTAATACCAATATTTCCGATGACCCTACCTCCTGACACTCCCTCTGGTAACTCCCTCCCCCTGTCACCGAAGAAATCACCACCATCCCACATTTTCACAAACCTTATTGATTTGGGGTTTTGTTGTTGTTGTTGTTTTTGGGTTTTTTTAAGACAAAATTTCTCTGTAGTTTTTGGAGTCTGTCCTGAAACTCACTCTGTAGACCAGGCTGTTCTCTAACTCACAGAGATCATCCTGCCTCTGCCTTCTGAGTGCTGGGATTAAAGGCGTGAGCCACCACTGCGGAGCAAAACCTTATTGAAATCGCCTTCTTTTTCTCTCTCCCCCTCCCTTCCTCCCTTCCTTGCTCTCTGTAATTTTGGTTTCAGGCCTCCAAAATGTACTGTACTCAATGCTCAAGGCAAGTGAAGGGAGCAGAGGGAAGAGGTGGGAAGGGGAGGCAGGGAGGCATCTGGCAAAAAAGCAGCCTGACAGTCCAGCTGTTTGCAGAAGAAGGGGAAAGGGTAAAAAGAAAAGGGGAGAGAGAAGAAAAATAAACAGAGAGAGAGAGAAAAGAGAAGCAAACATGAAGTGAGCTGCCGATCCATGAAGGAGAGTAGCTATTTTATCCACGTTGTTCCAGGGAGCAGGGAGGGAAAAAGAAGAGGGAGGGAAAAAAATCAGAAGAAACATTGGGGCAGAGGGAGGAAGGGACATGGAGACATGTAGACAACTTAATACAACTCAATTAAGACAAGGCAACCCGGCTGATGTGGTCCCACGAAGATCCTGAGTCCCCAGTACATTGTGGCACTGGTCCGGCTGTGTTGGTGGTGCTGGCTGGCATTTCTGGGGTGAGGGGTTCAAAGGTGGAGCATAGTCTTTAAGCAGCTCCCCTCACCCTGAACACTGAGGCCGCAAAGGCTGGGCAACAAGAGCTTGATGAGACCGATAAGGCAAGAAGTGTGGCTGACTGGTGGCCCGCTGCAGGTGGGTGTGGGCTGGACAGCCTGTCTTCTTTCTGCTGACCCCCCAACATGGGATGGGCCAGCACACAGGGTCAGGTGCTAGAGTATGAGCTTGCCTGAGTGGGTGTCACTTCTCCGGAAGTGGCGGTTAGGGGACCTGGATGAAGAGTGGGAGTGAGGATCCATGTTGGAAGAGGAGCTGTGGTATTTCATGACGACGCTAAGGTCACCAACTCAGCAAAGCTGCTACCTGGAGCTCAGCCAGCACCCTCAAGCCCCAGGAGTTACTGAGTCTGCCCCCCCCCCCCCCCCACCCCCCCCCCCCGCGAGGGTGAAGGCTGCTAAAGGCCTTCAATTGCTTCTTCTTGGGCCTTTTAGCCACATGCTCCCTGCTCAGCCCAGGCAGAGGCTCATGATTCCAGTCTATGGTGTAGGCGGAGCCATCCTTGGTGCCAGACCTGTGGCACCTCCTTGAGCAGCTTCTCTGGTCCTTGTCCTTGACTGACTCGCAGGTGGTGAAGCAAAGCTCCACATATTTCTTCATAACCTGCAGCCAATCATCTGGCTTCCCAGACAGCTCCCACCCCGACTGGAAGGCTCACTGTGGTTCTGAGCTTTCTCTGAGTTGAACTGGGAGCCAAAACTACAGTGTTGACCCTTGCGTTGGAGCTGAAGTTCTGGTTAGTGACAGCCAAGGGCCACTTCTGGATGTTAAACATGAGACCTCCAGTCCCAGGGCCTGGTTTTATGCGGGCCCACAGCTGCTGACCCTTCTTGGACTTGGCAGGCTTTCTGCAGCTGCGTGGGCCATATGCATGCCCTGTAGGTGCCCCTGTCTGCCTGTGCTGAGTGGCTGGGACTGTTCCAAGCAGAGAGCCATTGCTTAGATCATGTGTCCCTTGCTGAAGGTTCGAGGGCTGAGGGGACTGGGCTGCAGGTAGCTGTGTTGGACCCTAGAGTCCAATCACTGAGGAGGAGTTGCTCCCCAGAGACTGTCTCTCACACCACAGCTGATGTAAAAGCATGAGAATTTTATTAATTCTGTCATGACAGGGTCTTTCAGCATTCGGGAGGCTAGAAAGACCCCGAATGACTGGTACAGGCTATTTTTAAAGGGAAAACCACAGAAGGAAGGGGTGTCTGGGGGTTGTTCTTTAACTATTATGATTGGCTTATTCAAAAGGGCTATTACCAATAATTGGCTGGAGAGTGGTTGCCAGATCAGATGAGGTAAGGGAAAACATCTGAGGGTCACTTTGCCCCTTTCCCAGGGCCTAAGTCAAAACATCAGTCACTGAGTCAACACCTGAGGGTTATCTTGCCCCTATTCAATAACTGAGTTCTATTTGGAGAACATTCACAAGGACTCAGGGAGATGATGGAAAGTTCCCAACATTTCAGTACGTGTGTGGGCAATTGTTAGGTCCTTGGTTCCTGGGGGAAAGGGGAACGTTACTACTGAGACTGAGAGTTGTCAGAAATGGCTTCAGAGTTCCACAGCTGCTGAGGGAAAGCCTGGCAGGCCATACTCTCATCCATGTTGGGGGACTGGAGGCTGGCTTAGAGTCTCTTGGTGCTGGGGAGCTGATAGCTGCTGAGCTGTAGCTGAGCGCCAGGAACTGGTTATCCCATACTGCGAGGGGGAGCTGTGTCACTGGTATGTGCTCATGGGGGAGTGGTAGCTGTAAGGCAAGGTAGGCATAGTTGTATTGCCTATGCATCAGTAGCACTGTTGCTGCTGTGGCGAAGCTGAGGCTTCTGCCTGAGAGCACTGGCTGCAGGCCCACTGCTGTTGGCTTTGGAGCTGCTGGCAGCCTCTGCTTTGCTGATGCTGGCCAGGGTCTGGTGGGCCTTCTGCCACTCTGGGTTCTTGTGCATGGGAATCTCCATGCCATTCTCTCTGCTGGCCCCAGCCACCATGCTGAACAAAGAAGACCAATCTGTGCTGCACTGATCACCCACGTTGGCCGCCATCTGGACCTTGGGGTATAGGGAGTGGACCTGGGAGCCAGACTGCCTTTTCACTGTCAGCTAAATAAATGTCTGTTACAGTCATTGGATCTGATGTGACAGGACTCCGAATAGCAGGTGAGCTGAAAGTAGGCAAATGGCTTAAATTTTGAAAAACATTCTGGCATGTTTTACGATTGTCACTCCAAGATTGTCAGCATTCTGCCAGGATGGAATCTGCCTATAGGTGACAACAAAAACATTCTCAACCCATGGTGCAAATCTTCCATAGATCACAGTGATTATCTCAATTCTTCATTACCTTCAAAAAGGATGGCAGCCCTGCCTGCCTCCTATAACAAACAAATGGAACAATCAGTTCTCTGCCAACGATGCTCCTTTTCTTCTCTGTTTGCTTATGGAGTTCTTGAGAATCTTTAGGGTTATTCCATTTATGAAGGCCAAAGTGGCCTCTGAATACAACTACAGCAGTTTTGGTTTATTTTAGTCAACTGGTTCCATTTATTTATTTATTTATTTATTTATTTATTGTGTGGGTGTGGGTCCATATGTTGTGACAGGTGTATGGAGGTCAGAGGTCAGAAGACAACTCGCAGGGGTTGATTCTCTGCTTCCACTATGGGATCCTGGGATGGAATTCTCCTTTGTTAGGCTTGGAGGTAGGCACTTTTGCCTGTTGAGCCATACGGCCAGCCTGAGCTTTGTTTCAGAAGAAAAGCTTTGTGGCAATTTTCTTTTCCGTTGATTTGTTACTGGTTGCCTGGTGTAAACACCCTCAGGAAAGCCAAATCTCCCATCATTAAACCCGAGGATTCTTTCTCTGGTGTCAAGTAACTTCTCTGACCTGTTTGCCTTTGCTTTTCCATGGTCCGGTGTGGGCATCTTTACCATCCCCAGTACTGTTGAAAAAAAATGGAAATGGTGGTAGAAGAAACTTTAGTTTTTGCCACTTGAATACATGCGTGGCAGCAGGAAAAGAAGAAAAAAAGATGTTAGATGTTAGGTCCTTCCGGTGCTTTGGCCAGCAAGGGTGTGTCCAGGACAAGCCCTGGCACCTTTGCGCAGTGCGCCAGCAGACATCCCAGCTGCTACTTAAATCTTGGCTGGTTCTGTTCTGTGCCTTAGAAGCATTTCTCTCACTGCTTTCTGATCCCCTTCCACCTGTTCGCTAACTGTTCTCCTTTCTTCAGCAGTCATGATCTGAGCTGTTCAACCAGGTGTCAACTGGTCAATTGGCCTGGGCAGACAGGTCCAGTTCTGAAAGGATTTCCCAGAATGTTATCTCTATAGGAACCAGCTAAAACCATTCCAGGATTACCTCTTGGATCTAGAATCTGAAATCAATGGCTACAACAATGCCCATAAAACAGAGTTAGTACCCATACCTGTGAGACAGAAAGATGTAGGTCTGTCTCTACAGCAGCTGGAGCAGCAGTATTACCCAGTGCCACTGCAGGAAGAATGGATGATGGCTGCGGGCTGCTGGTCCAGGGGTTCTCAAGCCCTGGGTGCTGGAATCTACAACACAGACCAGCTCCATGACTGATGGGCTCCCTGGTTGTTGGGGAGGAGGGAGAAAGGACGTTCCTCCTTAAGTCTCTTTAAACCTTCCAATTGTTGAATGGAGAGATGGCTCAGTAGTTAAGAGCACTGACTGCTCTTCCAGAAGACCCGGGTTCAATTCGCAGCTCCCACATAGCAGTTCACAACTGTCTGTAAATCCAGTTCCAGGGGATCTGACAGCTTCACACTAATGCACATAAAATAAAGTTAAATAAATCCTAAAATTTCCAATTATATTCTCTCTCTCTCTCTCTCTGTCTCTGTCTCTGTCTCTGTCTCTGTCTCTCTCTCTCTCTCTCTCTCTCTCTCTCTGTGTGTATGTGTGTGTGTCTGTGTGTATGTGTTTTGTGCTGGGGATTGAAGCTAGGGCTTAACACATGTTAGGTAAATACTCTACCCCTGAGCTACCTTCTAGCCCCTAGAAAACAAAACAGATCATAGTATTTGATTTGTGCCTTTCCCCAGGTATTTCCAAAGTTTGCAAACTTTTTTGTCCCTATGCTTTAGGACTGTCTCTTAAAAATAGCCAGACTTCTTTAAATCAAGACAATATTCTTTTTTTAAACTGGAATATTTAGTATATTTATATTTTAAGAAATAAAGGTTAGCTGGGTGGTGGTGGTGCACACCTTTAATCTCAGCACTCAGGGAAGCAGAGGCAGGAAGATCTCTGTGAGTTCGAGGCCATCCTGGTCTACAGAGTGAGTTCCAGAACAGCCAGAGATACACAGAGAAACCCTCTCTCGAAAAACCAGAAAAAAAGAAGTTACTGTTATATTTAGGTTTTAAATCCTATATGCTTCTTTTTATTATTTGTTTAGTGTTTCCATTTTCCTTCTTTGCTGACTTTTACAAAAAATATATAAATAGACTTAAATTTAAATTTTAGTTTTTAATACCAATTTTAAGATATAGTATAATTACATCATTTCTTCTTTCCTTTTCTCCCTTTAAGCCCTTCCACATAACCCACATTTTTCTTCTTTGTTTGATTATTTTTGTTTCCCTTTTTAAAACAGGGTTTCACTATCTTAACCAGATTGTTATTGAACTCAAAATCCTCCTGCCTCAGCCTCCCACATAGGGATTACAGGTATGCAGCACTGTGACAGGTAGAAAAATCTATATTCTGGATCTTATTTATGAGATCAGGAAGAGGTAGGCACTTTTTAAAATTCCTTCCTTAACCCTTCTCCTCCTCAGACTGTATTTCTCAGTCCTTTACTTATATATTCTGGGTACACTTCTTTAATAAACTGCTTGTGTTTGAATCTTTGCCTCAATGTTTACATACGTGAAAACTAGTTTACAGCAGGATATATACATGCAATAAAGCTCCATGGACCGTTAATCCAAGACTCTTCAGTTCAGCCTCAGGCAGATTTTTAGGACAAAGAGCAAAAACAGCCACATGTTTTGCCAAAATATTGTAAGAATGGTTTCTAGATCAGTTGTTAATATCATTCATCTCTGCAAGTTCTTGAGCTGGATCTAATTCACATTGTTCTCAGCACTATTGTCTCCCAAGCTCTTAGTAGCATGGCCCACTAAGAGTTGCTTATAGTGTTTTAACTGCTTCCCTAGTACAAAGTCCCCAAGTCTTCCACATTCATCCCGTGAACAGTGTATGGTCAAACCTCAGCAATAGTTTGAATTAATGGCATTGACAGAAGAGATATCAAGATAGCCTAGTTAGTGTAACATGTAGGGCCTGCTTGTTTGTGTTTTCTGTCCCCGCCTGGTACCCCACAACCGGCAGGCCCCAGAGAAAAATCAATCACACAGATCTCTGTAAGTTATAATGCTGATTGGCCCATTAGGTCAGGCTTCTTACTGGTTAACTCTCACATCTTGATTAACCCATTTTTCTGATCTATGTTAGCCATGTGGCTCAGTACCTTTTTCAGTGGGGCAGCTTACATCCTGCTGCTTCGGTGGTCTGGGCAGGAGTTGGAGGAATCAACTTCATCCTCCCCAGAATTCTCCTGCTCTCCTTACATCATTTCCACTTCCTGTCTGGTTTTCCTGCCTACACCTCCTAACTGGCCAATCAGCGTTTATTTAAAACATGATTGACAGAATACAGACAATTCTCCCGCACCACTTCCCCCTCTTTTTTTAAAAAAAAAAAAAGGAAAATATCCATAGTCCATATTTTGAGAAAGTGGGTGTAGTATTCCAGGCTACTTCCAGCTGGCTGGGGGCGCTGATAATCTTATGGGGACCTAAAGAAAATTTAGAGTTATGATCAAGTCCTGACTGAAGTATCCTGTGAGTCTTATCATCTCAGACAGCAGTCTTGAATCTGATCTGGATTAAGAACTCAGACATCTGGGCCATCTGTTCCTGTCGGAGATTTTTCAGGTGGCCTCCCTTGGTCAAACTGGATTTTTCTTAACTCAGAATAAATCCAGAGCCTCTCATTTTCTGTGGGAACAAAAGCAAAATCTCTTCTCCAATGTAACATACCTTTTGACTTCAATTTTGAAGCCAAGGTATTTTCAAAATACCTATCTTAAATTAATTCTGCAGCGTTTATAAGCAAATATTTTTTAGCAGCTGTTGCTCCTTCCTCAGCATTCAAACAATTTAAAGAGAGCACAATAGCAAACAGTATCAAGATTCTTTGTATATTTTCCATCTTTATGTGGCTTTATTTTAACCTCTATTTCTTTTATTTTTACTTTTAACTTTTGACTTTTTGAGACAGGTTCTCTGCATATCTTTGTCCTGGAATAACTCTGTAGACTAGGCTATCTTTGAACTCCCAGAGATCCGTCTGTCTCTGCCTCCCAGGCTACTCGTTCTTTCTTTCTTTCTTTTTTTTTTTTTACTCGAGAACTTTAACCTTTAGCCTGTATATATTTTTAACACAATGTAAACCATTTAGAGGGTTTCTTACTTTTTGAATCTCTCTTTACTGTATATCTCTCTTTTTCTGACCACATGGGTCTCTACGGAATATGGAGAAAACAACAGTCAAAAGCTCTTAAGGGGTTTCAAGGTCCTTGTCGGGAAGCAAGCTGCAACATTGTTTCCATAGTCTGGACTGCCTGCTTGAAAGAGTCATGAGTTTTCCCTGGCCGGATGGCCGGCATTTTAAAACAGCGCAGCTTTTTTTTTCCTGCTACAGCTGAAAACTGAAATGCTTTACTCTAGTCTTTCCCAAGCTTTCTCAGGCTTTCTGTGGATGCAGTTATCCATGTGGGCGCCATTCTGTAACATGAAGGGCCGGCTTGTTGGGATTTTTGGGTTTTCTGTTCAGCCCCCAGCTGTTTAGTCCCAGAGAAAAATCACACAAAGATTTCTATAAGTTATAATGCTGATTGGCCCATTAGGTCAGGCTTCTTACTGGTTAACTCTCACATCTTGATTAACCCATTTTTCTGATCTATGTTAGTCATGTGGCTCAGTACTTTTTTCAGTGGGGCAGCTTACATCCTGCTGCTTCGGTGATCT